GCTCCAAAGAACCGGCGCGGGTGCCCGGGGTCCCCGTCCTCTCGACCCTCGCCGGCTGCCCCCTCCTCTCCCCTGAAACAGCGTCCAAGGGAAGGGAAAAGCGGCGAGAGTTGCCAGCACGAAGGTGAGTCTGGGCTCGGGTCACCTGCTACTCCAGTGGGAGGGTGCTCTGGCGACTTAAGGTTAAGCAGGGATGGTGGGATGAGAGAGTGGCCGTGGATCCTAAGGGGTAACCCTCAGCGACCGGGGTGTGGGGACCTGTGCCGAGTCTGGGAAGGCGCCGGAGAGCGCACCGGCGGCAGCAGCGCCGCGGGACCGACCGGGGAGCCCATGAGCTCCGCTTGGGAGACAGTGCGAACTGGGGCGCAGTGCCACCACGCCGCCCAGCTTCAGGATCTCACCCCGAAGCTCTGCCAGCCGCCGCCGCTCAAAGTTTGCTTCCCGGGGCGCCGCTCCGGAGAAATGTGCCCTCTTCCTGGATACCCCCTCCTGGGTCCCCTCCCTAGGCTGGACAGTCAAAGAAACTTAGGGACGTGCTTCCCGACTCCCCACTATTACAGGTTCATTCGCAGCCGCGTGGGTAGGGGCGGTCCCGGATGAATTAAGCAAAGTGCAACTGCGCCCAACTCGCCCCTTTTCCTTTTAGCCTGGGGGACACAGAAGATGAGAGCGAGCTGGCTGTTTTGGTTATGGCACTTTGAAAAAGGGAGATACAACGCCTTTTTTTTTCTTTCTTTCAAAAAATCGCGACTGGCAGTCTGTTTGTTGGAAGTGCGCATCCCTTTTGCTAGGGCGGGGTGGGGTAGGAGGATTTGAAGCCAGATACCTTTCGCTAAGCTTGCTGGGTGTGAAATGAGGTTATGGTAAATGTTCTGCAGCCAGGGAAGCCCCTGTGGCCCCAGACGTGACCCCTATTGGGCATTTAACCCCGAGGGCACTACCTAGGCTCGCTCAGATTAGCTAACTGCTCTGGCAGCCTCGCGGGCTGTTTTATGAACCGATATTCCTTTCCTGATGACTTGTGCTCAACCGCATGGGCTGAGTTGCTTTGCTTAAGTCCCGGCCTTTGGAGGAACTTGACAGGAGGAGGAGACACCCCTGTCTCTGGCAGGGCTATCTGGAATGTGGGGACTGGATTGGAGACGCATGCCTGGCAACTGGGGCTGCTGACCTCAGCCGTTAAGTATTAAGGATGTCGGAGTTAAATTGGCAAACTTTGAACCTTTTAGTGTCAAACCCTAATACAATGCAGTATCCCACGTGGACTCTTCTTTCTCCACCCAAATGCTTTGCTTCACACTCCCCTCTAGCTGGGAGTTCCTATTTGCACCAGACAAAGAAGCAGCAAGTCCCAGGGACAGGAAAAGACCTAAAGTCTCAAGTTCCAAGGGAAAAAAAAAAGTTCTCTTGAATACACGCACAAGCATTGGGAAGATGGAGAAGTCAACCTGGAGAAAGGAGTTTACCTGATAAGAGACCCCCGTCTGGGAGTGTCTCTGTTGCTTTTGTGTAACCCAGGGTAACTGCAAGAGCAATCAGAGTCGTCTTCATTTGTCATGTGGGAAGACAAATGTGAAGAAGAAGGAAGGGAGGGAGGTTTATGCCATCACTCTGTGGAAGCCGTTCACCCTCACTCTCTTTCTAAAGCCAGAAGATGTGCAGGAAGGATGAAAATCGGGAGTGATCAGCCATGGTTGGCGGTTGCTTTAGCCCCCTGGAGTCCTGGGCTCTCACTGACAGACAACCAAGTGATGGACTGACCCTGGTCAAGAGATGGGAACAGACCTTGGCCCTTAAAAAGAACAGCCAGGAAATGATGTGCGATGAGATAAGGAAAGGATCAAGAGGTAGCTGAGAGACAATGAAATGGGACCGATACGGACTGCCAAAATTTCACATGGAATTTACCCACTTATGAAATGGAAAATTTCTAGAGAAGGGAAGTGACATTTATCAAAAATCCATTGTGTCCATGTGCCCTGTATAGTGTTTTAATACTCTCAATACTGGTGTAAATGGTCTCTTGATGATTAAAAAAGAAAAATTAATATTGTTCCATTTGGCTTTTATGTTGTTAATAAATAAACATACTTTAAAAAATTACATTGATAGGAGAATGTGCTAAATCCTCACTCTGTTCATTTTAGAGGCAACAATAATGAGCCCAAATGGTATTGATTTGTGTGATCAAGTATACCTTGGTAAGGCTCATCTGTTTGGGTGTGGGTAGATCTTCTTTCAGGAACCTAAGACAGCTTCCCGTGTCTCCACTGAAGGAAAGTCTTTTCCAAGGTCTGTATGAGTAACCATATATGTGAAGAGCACAAAAGAAGTTGGTTGAAGATGAGAACAGAACAGCTCATCCATAGACCTATAATGCTTATAATATTAAAATTCCAATAGCATATTCTAGAAATTATAATGGCTTTAACTGTGTTTTTGAAAGAAAAAAATAAGTATCCTTATCCAACAGCAACTCTGAAGTTGAGATACCTGTTTTGATGACAGGTCTTCCCTGTCCCACAACCTACACATCAGAAGCCTTCCTAAGTGTCTGCTGCTCATTAGAAAGAAGGGTGAAAGTTGGACTCCAGGCAGGCTCCCTCTTGATGACTTCCTGAGGGAGAAGGCTGGTGAGAAATGTCTTGAGACTATCAGGAAACTGATCAAGATAAGTAGAAACTCCAGGTAAAATGATAGGAATTTCCCTTTCACAGAACTGCCTTCATAGGCAAATTTTATCTAGTGAACTTGTTCTCCATGTTGTAAGGGGAAAGTTGCACAAAGATAAACTGGTTATTATTGTTGTTATTATTGTCTTTCACTTAGTACGGGCAGGGCTGCCATGTGTCTGAGTGAAGATTATTTTCAGTGTCAGGGAAAGTCAGGAGTATAAACAATGGCAAAGGCCAAGGACGAAGGTCTGACAGGCCGACACAGTGCCGTAGGTTTGAACGTGAGTCGATAAGCTGTATTGCTCCTGTATCTTCTTTCCCATGCTTGGGGCATACTTTAGTCATACTTGTAGTTAAATTAAGACAGAATCTTTCATAGTCCCCAGTTCTCGTCTTTCATATGGTTCTCTGCATGGACACAGAATGTTAACAGTCATACAGTTTACAGAAATCACAAGGCATCTCAGGAGATATCTCCTAGGATTAGCAGCATCTCATGGCTCCGCACTCATTCAATACTTTAACAAAGTTGCTAGGCTAAGTTTCCATCATGTTTTTTTATGGATGTGGACTATCAGTTCATCACTGGAAAGCCTTCCAGTGATTGCTACCGTAAGAAGTAGTAGTATATCTTCAGATTGTGTAAAGCACTTTCATTATTTTGGGAAAAACAGAAGTTGACTGAAATTTGGTCTTCCATCTAGAAGGTTTAATATTTTCATGACATGTTCATTGGAAATTACCTTTTAATTTAATAATTTACTTAATAAATAAGAATAGTGGAAGGTCTAAATTGTTATTATTAGCAGCAGTGTTTTACTATAACATGTGGAGCTTCATAGAAGTTACAAAGTCTTCGAGTCTTTCATGTGACAATCCTTGAGATGAAAACAGAGTAAACTGTCGCATTTAGGGACTAAGTAGCAACAACAGTAGTAATGATGATTGACACTTGGCAATATTTCATGACCACAAAATCAGAACCTTGGTTTTTAAAGCTTCTCTTCCTCTAGGAAACTTCGGCCAAACCCTCCCTTATTTTTTTGTCTTTGAAGTCCTATCCTTATTATAGTAAAAAAATCCAACTGTTTCTCCATGTTCATGTTGTTTATAAGCCCTGACTAGGTCATAAGAATCTGAAGAGAAAGAATCTGTCTTCTCTTAACTTGGAATGTCTTTACATACAGCACAGAGCATATATCACATAATATTGAAATCTAATTAACTATTCTATAGATAGTGATTTAAAATATCTATAATCGTGACAAAATGATTCTAGGTTCATATTTTATTGTCTCAACTTAGTAAAGGGATATTTTTTCTTGCATCTGAATTTTCCCCTTTCACTTAAAGTATTTAGATGCTCAGGGTTTTGTGATAACACAGTGACATAATTATCCCACAGGTAGGGAACATACACATGCACTTAAAAGAGTTATGTACCACAAAAGTTATTAAATTCTTGGACTTTTTGGAAGAACCTAATTAATTAGGAATGACTTAATCTGTGTCATCTGTGAACATGTTAGTTTACTAACCTTAATCAGCCAAATATTTGGGAAAAAGGATAGTCAAGGAAATTTATTGTAAATAAAAATATATACTGATAAGCTGCTACAACACCTCAGAAGTTATTTTGAATTTTGGTAATGAGAGAAACTAATAATTAGACATTTTTTACCTAACACATTATCACACAAGTGTTTATAGGAAGAATACATGTACTAAAATATACGGGTCTTTTTAATTATTTTGATACATCACTATCATTATTTAATAGTGCATTTCCACACTTACACTAATGTTAAACCATTTTAACAGTAGTGAACTAGGGCATTTTCAAGCAGGTTACTAATCTTCTATCAGTGAATCCATTCAGTGTGTTCATTGAACTGTACCCCTCACTAAGGCATTCATACCACCCTTCAACAGCAAGGGAGGAGAAAGTAAAGCAAAGTGAGAAGAGACTCACTGACCCTGAGAGACTTATCCTCCGGGTGAATCTGGTCTTCCTGCAGAGACCAACAGTCCTTAACTTACATCACCTTCTGCTTTGGAGAAGAGGAACTACTTCCTATACACCCCACCGCCCCGTTTTTTCTGGGGGAGAGTTAGTCTAGTAACTTTAGAAACTGATATTTCAATAATTAATGTCTGCAATGCTTTCACCAGCAAATCACAGGAACGTGGAAATGCTCTTCTAGTCAATCAAAAGTTATCCTAATGGAACTACTGCATCCTAAAGTAGTAAGACGATAAAATACACACACACACACACACACACACACACACACACACACACACACACACACACACACACATACCATCAGGCGATTGACATTTTTCTGTCTATGAATAATGCACTTTACCATACCTTCTTTTAATTAGACCCTTGAATACTTTAAACAGACATTAAGGATTGTGGTGCTGTTTGTAATCCAGATGAGCT